GCACCGTGGGTCATGTGACAAGAATCAACCAATCAGCTTCATCCTTTCCCGTAACAAAATTGAAAGCTAAGCCAAGACGGAGAAACAGCTGATCATAGCTGTACAAGGATAGCCATTTAAAAAAAAAAAAAATTTATTAGCAGAGCTACCTCAAGGGATTTTTAGTGCTGCAAATCCATTTATCCTTTGCTGAAATTTCCGCGTCTTCATGGAGAGCGCAGGTCATCGTTGCTTAGCAACAGCAGACGCCACGGGAGCGCAAGCATAGAGCGCAGGCTACAGAGTGCTTTGGAAAGAAGGAGAAAGCGGCGCACCTAGCGTTTTCCACGCGTTTTCAGGCGCGACATGCAAATGTGGTTTTGTTTTGAAGGAGAAAAAAAGCATATTGCTGGACTCGGTCGAGACCAACGAGAACATTTGGCGAGTCCAATGACCAAGTCCGAGACAAGTCCGAGACCGGACTCGAGTACTACAGCCCTAAGCTGAAGCGGTCGCATATGTAGGAGCCCTAGTTTGCACACTCTGGCCGAGCGTCCTCTGAAAGCATTTCAGCGGGGGAGAGTGCCCTAACTCGAAGACTGCGAGAGAGCTGATCAGTTTTTGTGAGCGCTCCTCCGACAGACACGCTCGCATATTGATTGAATTCAGCTCCACTCCTAACAAGGAGATGTTCTTGCTCGGTACCTGCATGCTCTTTTGCATATTCACAGTCAGCTCTAAGCTCTGAAGATGAGCGAGGAGTCTAAGCTTGTCGGTGAGCAGTGCGCTCTCTGATTTGGCTAAGACTAGCCAATCGTCGAGATAGTTCAGGATGCACGTTCCACTCTGCTTCAGAGGAGAGAGATGCATCAATGCATTTCGTAAATGTACGAGGGGCCAGGGATAAACCGAAAGATAGGACCGTGAATTGGTACGCTATCCCCTCGAATGTAAATCTCAGGAAACGTCTGTGGCGAGTGGCTACCTGAATGTGGAAATAAGCATCCTTTAAATCCACAGAGATAAACCAATCTCTCGGTCTGATTGAGAGAATTTGTCTCAGAGTAATCATTTTGAACGAGTGCTTCGAAAGCGCGAGATTCAGCGGTCTCAGGTCCAAGATTGTGTGGAATCTGCTGACTTTGGTACCAGAAAATAGCAAATGTAGAAGTCACTCTCATGGTCTGCTAGGGGCACTGTCTCTACAGCACGTTTTGCGAGGCGGTTGAGGCTGAGGCATTCCACTCCCGTACAGTGAACATTAACACACTGTTGAAACGGGGCAGTCTGCGGAAGAACTGAAGCATGTAGCCATTCTTTATTGATTTCATAGCCCACTCTGATACCCCTGGCAGTGCCTGCCACGCGTGAACTGTGACAGCGTGCGAGGCGGACTGCACACTGTGAGGGATAACTCGCCATTGGGGGGCGGGGAGTTTAATACCACACGAGTGTGAGAGTGAGTGATGGGGGAGAGTGGAGTGAGAGGAGGAGAATTGCTTTGATATTGAGGTGAGTATTGTATGTTTTTCGACTTTATATATCGGAACAGTCAAAACACAAACATGACAATTGCTCTTGCGGCCGCAACAGGCAGGGGGCGTGGTGAAGACACACAGCAGAGCGAGCAGACTTTTTCAGTGGCTCGTCTTTGGCGCTGCGTGCAGATTTCCTCCTCCAAGAGACAGCATCAGGAACGCGGCTTTGATTCCGGTGCCGGTGGCCTGCCGTCTCTGGCAGGGTGGGGTCTGTGGCGTTTCGAGCCCTGACGGCGCTTTGGCCAAGGCTGTCTTGGTCTCACCGCCAGCTCATGTTCTCGCTGAACATGAAGCAGAAGAGGCGTGTGGTCTTTCCGCGTGCTGGGCTGAGGAGGAGCCACTCTCCAGTTTGCCGCGGCTGAAGGACAGAGATTGGCAGCGACGGCTTCTTCCACGGGGGGGAGTTTAACATACCCCACTTGGTCAGCGCCGTCCACAGAAGACAGGAGGGAGAATCCCGGGTTGTGCACTCGACTGGTGAGTGGTGCGTTCCACGACTTTGTTATCTCATCGTGCACCTCGGGGAAGAAGGGGCCGGGCCTCCGCGGGGTGTCCTTTTGGCCGTGATCTGACTGGAGGTACCACTCGTCCAGACGGCTTCTGGCCAGCTCGGCAGGAGGCACCCACTCCAAACCAAGCTCTTCAACTGCCTTGGACAGGACGCTAAGTAGCTCGACATCATTATGATGGTGGTCCCCCACATTGCTGCCGTGGGGTGCAGTGTCATCCAGCGGGCTGTTAGACCACTCCTCTCTCGCAGACGCTGCCACAGAAATGGCATCATCCTCCTCTTCAGCGCCCTCCATGGCACCGAAGGACACCACATCTTGAGCGATGGGGGAGGGGTGGAGAACAGCGGTCATGGAGCGCACTGGAAGGGGACCTGCAGCAGGGGGGTGAGGAGCGCGTGGGCACTGAGCCCGCGTGGGCTCGTCACCTGACCCTGACAGATCTGCATCAGAAGCTCGCGGCACTTTCCTCCTTGACTCGAAAGAGGCTGCAGAGGAAGAGGGCTAGGCAGGGCTAGTTGGGCGAGTTCATCACCTTGGACGATGGCCACACGGAGCTTGAGAGTCCGGAGGCTCATATCTCCGCAGTGGGGGCAGTCCGACCACCCAAGTGCCGCCTCTGCGTGGGCGCAACCCAGGCAGAAGACGCACGACTTGTGGCCATCAGAGAGTTCGATTGGCTCTGAGCAGGAGAGGCATCCTTCATCCATCATACTTCTTTCCGAAGCTCACAAGAACACAGCAGGGGAAGAGAAGGCGTGTCCGCTGCAGTGTGTAGATCACGTTGAGTAGTCTTGTTGATAGGCTTCTTGCTTCTCGTAGAAGGTTGGCTGAAGAAAAAGATTCTGAAGCAGTCCGACCACCCAAGTGCCGCCTCTGCGTGGGCGCAACCCAGGCAGAAGACGCACGACTTGTGGCCATCAGAGAGTTCGATTGTCACTGCGCAGGAGAGGCAATCGCGAGTCATCCTTGTTTCGGAAGCTCACCGGAACACAGCAGGGGAAGAGAAGGCGTGTCCGCTGTAGCGTGTAGATCACGGTGAGTAGTCTTGTTGATAGTCTTCTTGCTTCTCGTAGAAGGTTGGCTGAAGAAAAAGATTCTGAATAGATGACGTACAAGCGTTGCTTAATATAGAGTGGGAGCCCCTCGTATTTTGTGCGCTTGAACGCCATTGGCCAGTTTCACTGGCGGGATTCAATAAGGCTTCAGTAGTATTTGGAGGAAAGGGTAATTCCCCATAGCAATGTAGAGTGACCGAATCGAAAGGGAACAGCAGTACTCTGCTTGTTTCCAAATCCGTACACACATTTGAACCTAAAATAATCATTCATAAAATTCGAAAAGTTTGAAGTGAATTACAAGGGTGTTCACAGTGGGCTGTTTACATTAATCTCGCGTCATAAAAGTATTCTGAGCTGAGGTGAAATTAACGTTACATGGCTCAGCCGAATGCACAAGCGCTCTTTAGCACTCTTCTTCATGAGCATTTGAGTGTGTGGATAAAAACTAGATTAGAGCGCCATCTGCTGTTAAAATCTAAGCTCGAAATCGATTCTGCATCGATTTATCGTCCCAGCCCTAATGTTGATAATGTGATGTGGTGATTATGATAATGATAGTCATGGTGATAGTGATGTATTTGGTTCAGTGATAGTAATGATCAGGGGCGTCATGCACTCATTATTTTTTTGAGGGGGCACGAGTTGGGGGGGGGGGTCGTCATGTGACACACAGCAGCCACAACAGCACATGTTTTATTTATTTTTTCCTGTTTATTCGAAACATTCCCAAACGCATTTACTATATCATGAAATATCTTTATTCTCACCTTTATAAATTATGTTGATCTATAGTGGGCGATGGTCAAAGTAACCTAATAATGTAGTCTATTAACTATGCATAAAAACCTGTCTGTTTAATTAATTAACAGATATGGGTGTCATGCCATAACATATTTTTAATACGACTGACTTAATATTTAATGTGAATTTAACATTGAAAGTTAATGTGAATAAAAACATTGCAAGTTAGGCTACTAATCATAACACTTTCATTGTGCAGAAAGAGAGCAAATAACATTTACATTATCAAAGAACATTTTCACTGACAGTCTAGTTCAAGCACTCCCATTCAAGCACTGTTTACACTATGAAATTAATATCTTACAGATTCGTACACACATTTGCACTTCGTTGTTTCTGACGAGAGAATTAGCCAGAAAGAGGTATTCAGTCAGTGAGCGAGTGAAGAAAACAGTAATTTTAGCAATGACTCATCTGAACGCCTCTGATTGGTCATTGCATTCATAAGCTCAACAGCATCGTGTGTTATGCAGCGAACGCAGATTTGAATTTCGCAGCTGATGATATGACGCACTGAACGTTCCAATCACACGGTGTGATTGTATTAAATATAGAAAATATTAATCGGTTATATTTTGTCTTTTGGAAGCTGCATTCAAAATCCAATTGGCTCAAAAATCTGAGGGGGCACGCCTCTGGTAATGATGATTATGATAGTGTTGATGTTGATAATGTGATGTGATGATTATGATGATGACAGTGATGGTGATAGTGATGCATTTGATTCAGTGATGGTAATGATGATTGTGATAGTGTTGGTGATGTTGATAATGTGATGTGATGATTATGATGATGATAGTGATAGTGATGCATTTGATTCAGTGATAGTAATGATGATTGTGATGTGATGATTATGATGGTGATAGTGATGCATTTGATTCAGTGATGTAATGATGATTGTGATAGTGTTGGTGATGTTGATAATGTGATGTGATTATTATGATGATGACAGTGATGGTGATAGTGATGCATTTGATTCAATGATAGTTATGATGATTGTGACTGTGATAGTGTTGGTGATGTTGATAATGTGATGTGATGATTATGATGATGATAGTGATAGTGATGCATTTGATTCAGTGATAGTAATGATGATTGTGATGTGATGATTATGATGGTGATAGTGATGCATTTGATTCAATGATAGTTATGATGATTGTGATTGTGATAGTGTTGGTGATGTTGATAATGTGATGTGATGATGATACTGATGGTGATAGTGATGCATTTGATTCAGTGATAGTAATGATGATTGTGGCGGTGATGATTGTGATAGTGTCAGTGATGATGATTAATGTGATGTGATGGTGGTAGTTATGACAATAGTGATTCATTGATTCAGTGATATTAATGAGGATTGTGGTGATTATGATTGTTGTGTTGTGATAGTGATGGTGGTTAGTGATGCATTTGATTCAATGATAGTAATGATGATTGTGATAGTGTTTGTTAGGGCTGCACGATACATCGCATGCGATATTTAATGCGCATCTTGTCAGTAAAGCCATTCTGTAATCAGTGGTAAATCTCCATCACGTGCAGGCTTTCACATGGAGCAGAGTTTGTGATGATGTTGTGATGTGATGGTGATAGTGATTCATTTGATTCAGTGATAGTAATGATGAATGTGGTGGTGATGATTGTGATACATTTGAATTGATGATAGTAATGATGATTGTGGTGATGGACAGATGATTGTTATAGTGGCAGTGTGATGTCCTGGTGGTGGTGATGCTGATGTGAATGTGATGATAATGCTTTGTTGAAGATGATGTGGTGGTTATAATGTTCTTTTTGATGGCATTGTGTTGATGACATGTTGATAACATTGCCTGTCCTGTGTGTAGGTTGTGTGTTGTTTGGACAGGTGGTGGATCACATTGACTCTCTGCTGGAGGAATGGTTTCCAGGCCTCCTCGCCACTGATGTCCATGGCACCGGAGAGACACTGCTTAAGAAATGGGCTGTGTACAGCTTCAGTGATGGAAAAAACTGCCAAAAGATGCTGCTGGAAGAACTTCTCTCCAAAATCAATGCAGGTCTCTATCCATTCTGTTCACATTCAGAAATATAACTCCTTTCTTGATAACCTGGTGTATAAAAATGGTGCAAAACCTGTAGTGTACTGACTGGTTGCTTGTCTGTAAGATGGTTTGCTGGTGAACCCAGAGGACCCCAGCTGTACTCTGCCCATCTCTCAGATCTCTCCAGACCTGGTACTGTGTGACCAGCCATCCAGCATCATACTGGATCCAGAGCAACTGGAGATGGAGCTCTCAATGGAGTATATGTTGGGTTAGTGCATTAATAAATTGTTACATCTTATCTCACATATGTTACTGACAGTGAATGTCAACAAAGTAATGCAAGTCTAAACTAACAGTATTTTTTTACTGAAGGAGATGGAGGCTTTGGCTCCGTATATAAAGCTGTGTACAAGAATGAGGAAGTTGCTGTTAAGATTTTCAATAAACATGCATCTACACTTTATGTTCATCGGCTGGAACGACAGGTGAGTTATGCAATAGAAAAATAACCCCGGCAAGTCTTTCACTTGGTTAGGACATGAGCAAGTGGTGTCCAAGTACCAGCGTTAGTACATGATTTGTGTATTTGCCTTAAAATTCTTTGTCTCCAGGAACTGGCGGTTCTTGGCAGACTGTGTCACCTCAGTCTGGTGGGGCTTTTGGCTGCCGGTTGTAACCCACACATTCTTGTGATGGAACTCGCCCCATATGGCTCTCTGGACTCGCTTTTTGAGCGTGAAAATAGCAGTCTCAGCCGCAAACTACAGCACAGGATAGCACTGCATGTGGCGGATGGTCTCAGGTGGGTACGCTACCTACACAACACACAAAAGCTTTAAAGAAATCACATTTAAATAAACATGCTAGGTTCAATACAGGTTTAAGCTTTAGGACAGCATCTACAACATGTTTTGTATTCAAGCAGATATTTGCACTCTTCTATGATTATTTACCGAGATCTGAAGCCACACAACGTTCTGTTGTTTAACCTGAAGACGGATGCTGAGGTCATCGCTAAAATCACAGACTTTGGCATAGCGCAGTACTGCTGCAGTATGGGAGTCCGCAGCTCAGAAGGAACACCAGGTACCTCTAACTTTCCCATAATCCTCTATGAAACAGATGATTTTTACTTTATGTATTTTAATATTGTGTCTTCCACACACAGGTTTTAGAGCCCCGGAGGTCGCCCGAGGTAATGTCATCTATAACGTCCAGGCAGATGTATATTCGTTTGGTCTGCTGCTGTATGACCTTTTGACCTACGGCGAGCGTATATCTGATGGAATGAAGTTTCCCAGTGAGTTTGATGAGGTGGCTGTGCAGGGTAAACTACCAGGTAACATGCTTCTTTTGTTTATTTTGATGTTTATTAGTGCTGTCAAAATTAGCTCAATTAACGCAGGGGCGGAGCTAGGTTTGGCCACCTCACTCACTACTGCTGCTTCGGTCTCTTTTTTTTTTCTTGACAAGAATTGCATTTATTTAGACACAGAACGTCTTTATGACCACATAAAACGGGAGAGATTAGTAGTAAATCTCCAGCATGTGCTTTCAGATGGAGCGGCATTTACTACACAAGCTACGCAAAAATCGCGTTCATAATCGGCAATGAATCGCCTGCGATTTTGCGTAGCTTGTCAGTGAACTACGGCTCTGTGTAGTAAATGCCGCTCCATCTGAAAGCACATGCTGGAGATTTACTACTAATCACAGAAGCAGTTTTACTGACGAGATGCGCATGAAAATCGCATTCGATTTTTTGCACAGCCCTACTTTTCAGTCACGCGTTCCAACTTCACCTCAGCACCAGGCGCGAGTCAAACGAGCGTGGAAAAGCAACTGCGCTCATACCGCGTGCTCGTTGTATTGCACGCACAAATGCGGCGGCACTCGCTGTAGCCTGTATCATTTCATATCAAAGTGTGAAAGAAACGACGAACATGTAGTGTTGTGGTTATGTCATCAGTTAAGTCATGAAGTTACCAAAAAGGCAATTAAAGCTGCCTTAAAGCTGCCTTAAAACTACGTGCATGTAAGTATTTGTTATATATGAGTCACATTTAAGGACATGTCTCTGAAATGCAGTGGTTTTCAAACTGTCCTGGAGCAGCAGCACTGTTTCCCTCATCTAACACACCCGATTCAACTCGTCAGCTCATCAGTAGAGACTTTAAGTGCTGAGGTGGGTCAGAAAAGGTAAAGAGATGCGTGTCAGATCTGTGTCATGTTCAGCAGCAGCAGCTCTTAAAGTAATAGCAGCCAAAAAAAACTAATAACCAGCTGCTGTGATGTCTGTTTATCAAACAACAAAAGAAAAAATAGGATTCATCTATATTTAATTTATAATTTAGTGTTTGATAACTTCAATTTAAATTTCTGTGTATTTCCTACTTGCTGAAGGGCACTTGTAGCTAAATATGACATTTATTATAATGGGTTTATGTGAAGATTGTTTAAAGTTCACATAAATTAGAAGTTATTTTAAGTAGTCTAATAAATGTTCAAATTGATAGCTCTCAATTATGCTGTAATGTTGAATGGCTATAGTCAATGGTTAAATGTTAGGAAAAAAAAATTTCATAGAGATATCAGTATTAGTATCAGGGATACTTGCCTTCAGTCATAAAAAAGATGCCATTATACAAATATTAAAAATATACTGTCTTTATGTTGTTTGTACATTAATTTGAAGATTGATTGTGAAATTATTGCAATGTAAAAGTATTTTTAAAAACTTTAATGTTAGGTGGGATTAATCGCAATGTCAGAAAGAAATGTGTGATTAATTAGTTTTTTAAAAAAAATTTTTTATATCGATTGATAGCACTAATGTTTATACATACACTACTGTACCATTCAAAAGTTTGGGGTCTGTAAGATTGTATTTATTTTTCTCAAAGAAGCCTCTTATGTTCACCAAGGCTGTGTTTATTTAATCAAAAATACTGTATGTATAATTAGTAAAATTGGAAAAAATATTTAAAATAAACATTTTATATTTTAATATATTTAAAAGATATAATTTATTCCTGTGATGCAGTGCTGAATTTTCAGCGTCATTACTCCAGTCTTCAGTGTCAGATGATCTTTCAGAAATCATTCTAATATACTGATTTGCTGCTTTAAGAAACATTTCTGATTATTATCACAGTTGAAAACCTTAATATTTTTGAGGAAACCGGTAATACTTTTTTCCAGGATTCTGATGAATAGAAAGTTCAAAAGGAAAGCATTTATTTGAAATATATATATTATTACTGTCACTTTTGGTATATATTGTTTAATATTATAGAATATTATTATATTAATTACACGTATCAATTTAATTGTAAGATTTAAAAAATAATCATTTATGAATGTATATTATTGATATTTTATTCCATTTATTTAGATTGTTTTTTATATATATATATATATAATAATATATATGACTCTCTCCACTATATAGATCCAGTTAAAAATTACGGATGTTCTCCATGGCCAGGGTTTGAGTCTTTGATGAGGGACTGTTTGAGAGAAAACCCACTGGACAGGCCTACGTCTGCTAAGGTTAGACTGATTACAACTGATTGTAACTGATTCTTATAAACTTATTACATCTTAGAAAGAATCACTTCTGAACTTCTGTGAAAACATTTGAGTAAATAAATATCTCTGTGTATGTTCTAGGTGTTTGATCGTCTGAATTCTGTAGAGATGCTTTGTCTGATGCGAGAGCTGACATCGATGAGTTTGCCTGGCGAGTGTTTCACTGTCTCCGGTGCCAGCGGAGGTGCAGACGGAGGTAAAAATACCCGTGTGTGGATTGGAGGTGGCAGTTGCAGCCAGAAATTAGGCTGTGTGACATCACTGGATCTGGAGACAGGGGGAAGCTTGAGCCAGGTATGAGTTTTACTGTATATATACACTGTTTTCTTGTTAAATGCTATTTCATCTAAACAAATATGATTATATGATCCTCATTTCAGTGTTCAGCATATAATAGTTTTCAGTTACATGCCAACCAGTTCACCCACAATCCTTGAAGAATTAACTCGTTGACTGCTGTATATTTAACAGTCCAGTTAACAGTGTTCCCACCCTCTTTTAGGAGATTGACAGCAGTCCAGTCCTCTGCATGGTGATCATCAGAGCTCCGGGGTCATGCAGTGACTGGTTAGTCGCTGGTACACAGTCAGGTTCACTCTTCATCGTGGACACAATAAAAGCAGAGGTTCTGCACTGTCTGAAGAGTGTGAAGGACTCTGTGACATCACTCTACTTTCACACTGACCTTCATCTCAGGTGATTACATCTACATTTTTTAAATAAAAAGTTCAATGGCTTCTTGGATGATCTACGTTTAGATGAGAGAATGATGTTTAAATTTTTCAGATACTTAAAGAATTACCTTTTGGTCGGGACAGCAGATGGATCATTGGTCATTTATGAAGATTCAGCCATGAAGGTATTGTTTTTTTTAATCATTATTTATCATTTTAATAATTATTTCAATATGCACAGTACAATACAATTGAACTTTGAAATAGTCCAAGATTTACTGGAGAATCATCTGAGAATGCTTTTTTTAAATTGACAATGAATTCTGAACTATAATTGTTTAGCGCTATAATTGATTGCATACACTACCGTTCAAAAATGTGGGATCAGTAAGATTTGTTTGGAAAGAAATTAATGTTTTTTTATTTAAAAAGGATGCATTCAACTAATTGAAAGTGACAGTAAATTTATAAAGACTCCTGTTTCTATTTTATTTTTGCTATTTCAAATAAATGCTGTTTTTTTTAACATTATAATAATATTAGGGATGTACCGATATGAAAATTTTGGCCGATACCGATAACCGATTATTCTTTATTTTTCCATTTTACTGTAATTTTGATCAAATAAATACAGCCTAGGTGATCATAAGAGACTGCTTTCATAAATATATTTTAAAAAATCTTACCCACCCCAAACTTTTTAACTGTAGTTCTAGCATGCTGCAAGCTATGTCAGACGCCTGACATATCTGATGTTTTATGACTGTAGGTGAAGAATGGTGGTCCAGTGAAAACGCTGCAGGTTGGTGATGTGAACACTCCTCTGATGTGTCTCGGTCCGTCCAGTCACCCTCAGGAGCGCAGAGGACTGTGGGCGGCCTGTGGCAGCAGGGTGATCTCGCTCACAGTGGGATATGACATCAATAGAAGCATAGACACCAAACCCAAACAGCTGTTCCCGTGAGTAATGCTAACCCTGCTAAAGACAAGCATAACTACATCTGTCAGTGTAAAACAAATGACCATTAGGTTCAGGTATTCTTGTGGAGAACAGCTTAATTTTTGACTTACTTTTTCTGCTAAAGATAAATATACTCTATACAGGGTCATAAAATTAACAGGGGTCTTATCTTGACAAATTCAAGATCGGGGGCAAAAAATGCCCCTGCACAATTAAATATACTTGGGGTGCCTCAGGGTTCTATGTTTGGCCCCATACTATCCTTAGTTATACAGTCTCAAAGGACATGGCTTTTCTTATCTGTGCACATGAACATCTACCTGTCCTTCAGACCTGAGCTTATATTGTGGATTCATCAGGATGACTCCACAAAATTAACACATATCTCTTCCTGCCTCTCAGCCTTGTTGCTAGAATGCTTAACACAAATGTTAACACTATTACACTTTCGAGATGTAAGTGAAGTGTGAAAATGAATGGAAAGTGTTGAGTGCAGCATTACATTTAGATCTGCTCGCAATTTCTTTTTACATGTTCTTTGTGGCATTGAACATTATAACCAACATACATTTCTGTTGAACTTATGAATGCAATGGCCAAATAGTGGTGTTTAGATTAGTCACCAGTAATGAATAAATCCACTGAAAATGGAAAAGTTTTGTTCACTAACTTAAAGGGGTCATATGATGCGATTTCAATTTTTCCTTTCTCTTAGACTAAAGTCTCAAATCCAAAGAGATATTCTTTATAAAATTTAAGAGTCAGCCACGCCTACCTAAAACGGCTCGTTCTAACATGCCCCCACATGTCTACATCACGATGTGGGAAGATTTGCCGCCCAAATGTTCATGCAAAGAAAGAAGGCGTAACTTTTAGTCTCGCTGTAGTATTGTTGCCGCTGCCGCCATGTCGTGAAGGTGCTGTGTGTTTCGTTGTGAAAGCGAAACTACTTTGTTTGGCCTTCCAAAAGAGGACGATATCCGCTTCGTCATGCCTGGAGCTGATCCGTGCTGGTCGCTGAGGAAATACATCAACTTTGCGCGGTGGATTGCCGGATCGGCTTTCACCGTGTACGAAGCGGAGTCCAGCCCGGGGTCGCCACATGTGGTTGCCTTAAGCCGTTCTTAAGCTCACCGGCCTCCTCTCACTCAGCCCGCCGGCTGTTCCTCACTCTAGGCCGCCGCCGCGTGTGACTACAATGCCGGCTGTTCTGACTCACAGACTGTAAGTACGTTTTTCATATTTAAAGAATTTGCCACTGATGATTCAAACGCGAGTTTTGAGCAGTGTAGAGTAGCGCTTGTTGTTTGTCGTTTCTCCGATCACAAATGCAGACATGGTTTTATGTTTCCCATCCGGCCTGACAGGGCATCACAGTATGGTAAGGGGCGTAACATTTCCGTCACACACTTGAGGTATTCGGCCAATCACAACGCACTGGATAGCTGGCCAATCAGAGCACACCTCGCTTTTCAGACCGATGAGTTTTGTAAAAATCGACGCGTTTCAGAAAGGCGGGGCATAGAGGAGAAACAATAATGTACGGGATGTGGAAAAGAATGTGTTTTTTGAACCTTAAACCACATAAACACATTTTATTACACCAAATACACCAAATAATGTTATTTTTAGCAACATCATATGACCCCTTTAATTCTTCACTCTTCTGAATTGTCTCATCATAAACCAAAGAAGTACAGATACAGCTTCATTGATTGTGTCTGTGTAGCCAAACTATGATGTGCTGTTTCCCCACACACAAAAACAATTTTGTATTTAATTAATCAACATTAATAATCATTAAAACAATATCAAGAGCAATAACCGACTTTTAATGATTTTTGTCATATTTTGACACATTATGCAAAAGTAATCTGTGTAAATAAACATAAATGCCATGTCAGATTTTTTATTTTTTTGGAAAAAATGTTTTATTGGTAACACTTTAGTGTTCTGATTGAATAAAGTAATTGGTTACGTTTAAGTATTTAACATAAAATACAGTACAGATACATGTAATAGAGTGAATATAAAAATTGCCCTTACAAAAATAAAAAGTTCCTGGAAATAAATTCAAATATTGCCCCTTAATGCAAAAGGGAATATCTGACCCTGATGTATACCGTACACTACATTGCCAAAGGTATGTGGACACCAAAAATACCGGTCCAAAATGTGCTTGTTTCATTTCAACAAAACAATGGGCAGAGGCGGACAAAGTACTCAACTCCATTACTTGAGTGAAAGTACAGATACTGCTGGTCAAACATTACTCCATTACAAGTAAAAGTTGTAAAGACAGATTTTTACTTAAGTAAAAGTACAGAAGTACTTGCTTTTTAAAATACTTAAGTACCAAAAGTAAACAATGGGTGTTAAGAGGATGTTGGCCCTCCCAACGGTTCTACGGTAAAACATGTAAGAATTTGCTCCCATTCCCATTTTCAGAGCCCTTAGGGACATGGCACCCATTTGGATTTCAAATTCCCAAACATGTTCAGGTTCAGGTGTGGTCTTTGTGCAGACTCGTCAGGTTTCTCCATGCCAAACTCACTTTGGACACATGTCACAACAGAAAAGCACCATTCACCATTCTTCTAAAAATGTTTGTCTAATGTGATTGCATGGTCATATGCTTGATTTTATGTACATACTAGTAATGTGTCTATCTGAAATAGCTATACTTGACAATTAGAAGTGGGTGTCTATCTAAATATTTGTGGTCAATCATGTAGTGTACTTGGCACTAAAATAACTCTAATAATTTTCTAATAACTGCACAGATTAGAAAAGCCATGTCCTTTATGATTGGGCCTAGTGAGATTGTATAAATTAAGAATAGTAAGGGGCCAAACACAGAAACCTGAGGCACCCCCAGTGGCTTGGTGATTGTAATTTGCCCATGAAGTAATACTCAGGAATGCGATGTTCAGTGATGTTCAGATCAGAGAGAGTAGACTGGAGATTCTGGTGATTCACCATGTCAAAGGCAGAAGACAAGATTAGTAAGACCAGGATGGATAATTTTCACATAGAAAATGTGCTTTGCATGTCTGTTAAACAGCCTTTTACAAAGAATTTCTTGGGGATGTTCAGTTCTTAAGCATGTTTATTTGTTTTTTTAGGCAACATGGTCAAATCAGCAGTGATCCTTGTATATCACAGTTAGCGGTGGACAAACATGTGTATGTAAGTAAAAGGGGCGGCCACACTGTGGAGGTCTGGGATAAGAAGACTGAGAGGATGGTGAACCTCATTGACTGCGCACAGTTACTCAGGTGAAGTGGCACACATGAACAACTCACTCAAACACTTTTGACCCATTTACACCTGTTTTTAACATCCATTTCTGATTGTCCGATTACAAGTTGTCAGCACTAAATACAAGTAGTGTCCAAAATGTTTTGTGGCAGGATTACTCACTCTACATCTGAAGTCAGAAACACATGTGTAGTGTTAACACTAATCTGGTGTGTCCTGGAGATCAATCAAAGACCCCTGACTTGCCTGTCAATCAACCATTGTGCTAAAACAAAACTTTAAATGTTGTTGGTTCGGAAAATAACCATCCGATTATGTCAGATGTCCACCAGACTTCATGAAAGGTCTCGGATTTGCCTCATGTCAACATGCAGTGACACTGATCATGTGAAACACATCTGAAGTTCAGTTGGTATGGGAGTTTGACTGAAATGACAATGAACATTCTGTATGAAATGTCACATCTGTGGCAAGATTAAGTTTTAATAATTTGGAAGCAGCAGTTCCTCAATTTTTTGTACTTGGTATGTTTTATGAAATCAGAGAATCTTCACATTTCAGACAATACTAAGTATCGGTTGACCACATGTTGACCCTAACTTCCAAACCCGTTTCGATTTATGTGTCCACAACAGATTAAGTTCCACCAAAAAGCCCAAAGCCCAGAGTGAGGACCAGTCTAGACAAATGGTGCCATCTTCGGTGATTGTTAAAGCTCTGTTGGTCCAGCACAGTGGTACTCTGTGGATTGGGACCAAAGCAGGACACATCCTGTTGGTGGAAGTCTCCAGCTGTCAGTTACTTCAGACCATCAGCCCTCACTGCCACTCCTTACGCTGCATGGGCTCTGTGCTGTTAGGTACACTTCCTGTTTCCTGTCTCTCTTTAATCTAATTACACAAAAAAATGTAATAGGATCTTACTTAGGATTAGTTGGTAAATAGTTTGGCATCTCTTGGGAAAAAAAAAAAAAGACTATGTCATGACTATGAATATACACGTTCATGGCTATGTTTCTTAACACACTCGTCAAATGAAAAATGTTACTTTTTACCAGTACATTTTAAATAATTATGTTTTAATAATCCTCTGTTGTGCTTTGAAGAAAGAAGTACACTTATGTTGATGTGTTGACTAACATACTTAAGCACATGTAAAATACTTGATTATAATTTGAACGGCAGTGTGATATTCAATATTACATTTAAAATATTTTAAATGTACTAAATTGTTTCGATAGAAATGAAAATAACGTATGTTTAAGATGGCTATATTAAAAAAACAAGTCCTACTGTGGGTCAAAAAGCATTCTAAAGTTCAGCTAATTGCATTTATATGGAAGGCCGTTTCCGCCACTGAATAAAAAATAGAAAAGGTAATTGCGACTTTTTATCTCATTATTTTTTTTCTCGAAATTCTGACTTTTTTCTCAGAATTGCGAGATATAAACTCGCAATTGCTAGTTTTAAAGTCATAATTGTGAGACATAAATTCACAATTCTGAGAAATAAAGTCAGAACTGCAAGATATAAACTCACAACTCTGACTTTTTTCTCAGAATTACTCATTTAAATCTTGAAATTGTGACTTATTTTCTCAGAATTGCGAGTTTATATCAGAATTGTGAGATAAAAAGTCACAATAACCTTTTTTTATTTTTTGATTCAGTGTCGGAAACGGGCTTCCATACATTTGATATAAATGTACACTATAATATATTTTCATTTAATTGCAATTAACATGCAATTAAGTGTCATTCACATAATTATTATTTTTAAGTATATTTTTTTGTAAAAAGTTTTTTTATTTTATTTTTTTAAGTATGCTAAAGTGGACTTCTTTTTCACAAGGGATATATAAAGTTTTGTGGGTTTTGTTTGTATTACATTGAGTTACAATTGTTTTAACTCGCTACATACAGAAATATTTATTGCTTAATTTTGTTTATATTCTTTTGCAGACACACTAAACCGAAATAATGTTATTCTAGTATTGGGTGGACGGCAACGAATGCCACAAGACCAAACCAAAACGCAAGGTAAGAACATTATAGATACATATAGATTGAATTTCAAAGACGTTATAACATCTATTTTATTTTATTTCATTTCATTTTCATTATTCTAATTATCTTTTTTTCTGAAGTCCACTTGTAATTTTAGTATCAAATTGTGTGGCAAAGATACTCTTCCTCTGACCCTTAGAATCATACAGCTCATTCTTTGCATGAAGATCATTTTATCTCAAAGAACAAGGAACATTTGCTTCTGCATGATATGAGCCCTTCAAATGTGTTTGTAATAGTCCCAGCTGAGGATTCAGTTCTGACGGTGTGGAGCAGTTCACTTCCTCTGGAGGTCAGAGATCTGATCAGACACTGTGAGCTACGAGACAAGATCACCAGCAAAATGAGAGAAACACTCCACAACTGATCACCCTCTCTGTGTGCGCATCACTTCCTGTCATGTAACACATGTAGCATTACTGTTTAGGACTTTTTAGAAAAGGTCCATTGTCTACTGTCAATAGTGCAGAATGAGGCACCGCTCACACAGAACTCACTTTCAAACTAAGCAGGTTTCTGTTGGTCAACACGGCCAATTCACACATATTCCAGATTGTGCAGATTTAGATTGAAACGACTGCGAAATTTTGCTGAGCAACAGTTAATGCGACCGATCCTTTACTGTTTTGAAAAGGGACCCCTGTGAAAATGCAGTTAGTGTGAAAGGTTATTTTATATAGTCATGTGAAACATTTATTTTTGTTACATCTCATATGTAGCTGTGCATTGATATGTTTGGAGTATACAGAAACTGATATAAGGTAGACAACCAAAATTGCAAACACTTGAGTTAGCTTTATTATTTTACAGTATTTATTCATGATATGAAGCCATAAGAACAGAGGAGAAAGCCACCATTTATCAAAAGTATCGCTAATACCTCTTATGCAAATGTATCATGTTTCGTTTTCACTAGAATATCATAGTTACTGCTGCTGTTAGCATCACGGGAGCACAATGGACAAACTGCTAACGGTAACTAGCATCAGTGTCATAAAAGCAACTGAAGATTATGAAATCTTCTTGCACTTTTTGAAGGGAATCCCATGTTAATGCTAGCATTCAGACTGACTAATGCAAATATTTCAAATTCCAGAATTGATAATGAAGTCTGTTTATTAAATCTCTGTGTTAGTTGTTTGGAAATTGAATTATACTATGAGCAATCCATTGCTAAATTCTGAGCAATAAGCTATTAAAGTTACACTACACACATTCTGACCTTTTATGAATTACAGCCAAGTGATCTTTAATGACAATATTTTTTAGTTTATCAAGTTTAATAACCTCATAAAATCAAGCACAACAAAATATAACTGGATTACAAGCCATAGATAAAGATAATATTTTTGTTACAAATATGACCTTTTACTGTTGTTTGTTTTTTTCTTCTGAGTTGTGGGAATGCAATGATTATTGATGATTTATATTTGTTTGTTGCATGGCAAGCATGATTTTAATAAAATATGTTTTGTCATTTTGTATGATAACTTTATTTTTTCATTATTTATTTCCCATTATTGTAAGAAATATTTTCTGATTATTTTTTAAAAACAAATATAATTGATATTAAATACTGATATTGTTATTTCTATTAAATATTAATATAAATAATTAAAAAATATCACAGTAACAAATAACCTATGCCCTACTCCCTTCGAAGGGCAGAGCCCTTGAAGTGTGTTCTTTGAAGGGTGCAGGGCATTACTGTCTCATATAAGCGTTTGGAAGGGAATGACTGACTAAATGTTACCTTGACACCGCTGCGCATGCGTGCAGCATTCAGCACTCCATCAGTTGTTGCAAATAATTATTTATTATTATTATTTTATTCAAATATTGTCTAATTGTGTCTTATTTACTATTAAACTTTTTCAAACTAAACTTGCTTGCACTACCATCTTAAATCATATTTCTATCACTGACGAAAAATATTTTTGTCTTACATTAAAATAAACAAATTTAATTAGCCTATTCTATTTACGTTTGTATTAAAAAGCATCACAAGATCTCCTAACCGAAGTTTACGTGATCACAAACGGAAATCACTTCCGTGAAGTGACCATTGCATGCTCCCTTCGCTAGCGTACTTCTGGAAGGGCCCTTCGTGAAGGGATTCAGTTGTTCACTTTTAAAAGGCGACCTCCTTCCCGAAGTGCCCTTCAAGAGCGCAAAATATCCGTTTATACGGTGGCCGAGGAGTGCAAAAAAAAGATCAGAAAACACAACGACAAATCCGAAAACAAATGGACAAACTGGAAAAGGTAGGTATAGTTTGAGACAGCCCATTGGTTTGGGATTACTCACCGCTGACTGGACGAGACATCTGTCAATCAACTTATACAGGAAGAACCAGCCGAAGAACAGCAGAGTCGTGGTAGAAAGTTCGAAGATGGTAGTAAAGTAGCTCAGTTTAAATGTATTGTATGAATTGCCCTTACTATGGAATAAAAAATACAGAGTGTCTATTTACATTTAGTTAAAAGTGACTGTAAACATCAGCTCCAGTGACGCAGATGGATAAGCGCGTGTTGTTGGCTTTTTGATGCGATCGACCCGGGTTCGATCCCGCCTTTTGCCAAACTTTTTTTCCTCCCTTTTCAAATCTCGTATCACATCGTAAAGGCATTTATTTTCAATAAAAATTAAGGAAATAATCAAAAAGTTGAAAATAAAGTATGGGGTAGGGTTAGGGTAGGTGTAGGGAGGGCTTTATTGTACAAATAAGGTGGCATCCATTTAATAATTAAAATTATAATTTACACTCAATACGTTATTATTGCATACTGTTTTATAATGTACTACAATACTGAAGTGCAGATAATTGCCACTAATTGCAACAAGTAGTATACTTGACAGTACAAATGTTCATTTGTTTTCGGATTTGTCATTGTGTTTTCTGACTTGTTATAATGTTTTCTGAATTGTTGTTGTGTTTTCTGACTTGTTATTTTGTTTTTTAGACTTGCATTTGCGTTTGTAATTTGTTATTTTGTTTTCAGAATTGTGATTTGTTTTGCACTTCTCCGCCACCGTACGTTTGGGATTCGCCCTTCATGTCTGACAGGAAACAGCCAATAAAGTTTGCCGCTCGACGGCCCCGCCCCTTCGGTGTCACGTGACACAAACAGAGCTCTATCTGGCCATGTACGTCATGCTGACTCACTTCATGACAGCAGAGGTTATATCACATCACACTGATCAACACTAAACTTCATCTAACATCATTTCTGAGAGCAGCAGACACTGACACCGGCATGAAACCGCTTCAAGCTTTTATTCCGCCCAGACCCCGCTGTTAGATCCGCTTACTGGAAGTCAAAACTGCTTCAGAGGAAACTCGGACACAGTTCCAGTGAGTTAAACATGTCTGCCATCATTGACAGTAACGCATGTGTAGCTGAGCGCTACTGCATTTCATAACGCCAATACATGTATTCTTGCTTTTTATTTTCAGTTTAGATAATATATGACAGTTACTAATTATATCTGACAGCACTTTCCAACTTTATTTATTTTTAGTGGCAGTGTGTATATAGTAACATACTGTACGTGTGTATGTAATATGTATTTTATTATTATGTTTTCCATCAGATTTGGTTGTAAATATGTCCTGTTCATGTAGACCTGCAGTGAGGGTGATTGTAAAGTCAGTTCATAAAGGTGAGTCAACTATTAACACTCAATTAAAAAGCTGAATAACTGTTATAGTAACGTTACATTGGACATGGGTTCTTATCAGCAGCCCAGATAACAGTTTTTACTTCTCAGAAGGTTCTGGTCTTGTTGTTCCCAAAACCTACTTGTTTAAGGGAAGTTTTTGTCTTAAAGGGGTCATATGATGCGATTTCAATTTGTCCTTTCTCTTTGGATTGTTACAAGCTCTTGGTGCATAAAGAAGATCTGTAAAGTTGCAAAGACTAAAGTCTCAAATCCAAAGAGATATTCTTTATAAAAGTTAAGAGTCAGCCACTCCTACCTAAAATGGCTCGTTCTAACACGCCCCCACATGTCTATGTCACTATGTGGGAAGATTTGCATAACACCTCCCAAATGTTCACGCAAAGAAAGGCGGCGTAACTTTTATTCTCGCTGTAGTATTGTTGCTGCCGCCGTCATGTCGGGGAGACACTGTGTGTTTCGTTGTGAAAGCGAAACTACTTTGTTCATCATATGTAGGGCTGGGTATTGTTCAACATTTTTCGATATCGATACGGATACCGATACCTTGACTTCGATACCGGTTCCTGAACGATACTTTTTTCGATACCAATTATATGAAATCATTTTGAACAAGATTACATTATCTTAAAAAAAAACTTTGGTTTTATTTTTCAGCTTGTTGATGTTTATGCAAACTCAAAGACTCATCTCCTGAGCCACTGCACAAAGGAACAAAATGTAACCAACACAATAAATCAGTGCAAAATAGTTTTAATAAAGCTTGTGGGTTGAACTATTTTTTTTACGCACCTCATCCCAAACCTTCCGTTGCAAATTCCAAAACGTCATTTTAGAGCTGATAACAGAGGCTTGAGCCATTGATATGCAGGCTAACGCAGTTATTAATGCAGTCTAATGCGGTTATTAGAGAGAGGGCAAAAGAGAGATTAAGTGCGTGTGAATACCTGCGTCTGTGTGTCTCTCAGCAGCGTTCAGCAGCAGCGTCTACTAATAGCGAATCTTTAAGTTAAACTCCTTCATGAACCTCGCTACTGAGAAATGTCATGTAGCTTTTCAGCTGCGAAACTATTTTAATGATAAATTCACGGTGCAGCGCTGACAAGAAGTCTCCGCGTGTCTGCACTGTGTGTGCGTCTGTGAAAGAGATTAGGAGAAAGAAAGCCTGATTTCCGTAGCCTACATAAAAAAGGTGGAAGACATGGAAATAGTTTGTCATTTTTTTACCCTATTGTTTGTTATTTATTTGCTCAATGTCTTGAGCAATGTGTAAATCCGGCCCTGTTAGACGGCAATCGGAAGTTATTACAAACACTCGATGGTGGTTTAAAGTGAGTTTTGAGTAAAAGCGGAATATAAATCTTATTTATTGCTACAGTTTGCATGAATGGTCACATAACACACGCTTTCGGTCGTGTAACGTTAGTATGAATGGACATCTGCATATGATCGGAACTCCACGCAGCTGCCGCGCTACTCTATATTGGTGGTTTTACAGTACCACGAGAGCTAAAGAGAGCAGACTGCTCCGTGCGCTTTCGAATCGCTCTCGCAGATGATCGATCTGCGTCGCACCTCTTCTAGTCGAACACACCGGCTAGTGCTGCAGGCTTATTGGCTCACTGAGCTGATGAGATTAACCCCTTAGGTATCGAAAGTTGGTACCGAACGACAAGACGTTTTTCGATACTCGATGGTATCGAGGCCATTCGTTCGGTGCCTAAAAAGTATCGAACTCGATACCCAGCCCTAATCATATGACCCCTTTAAAAATCCTTAGTGCAATGGTTTGGGGACGTTACTTCATGGTACTTAAAATTCCCCAAGAATGTTATTATTTGTTTTCAAAAAAATTATCAAATACTAACTCAACTGTTCAGTTCCCGGATGTTAAATATCACGGCATGCTCGAAAGTTGCAACATTCCTACAATGGCCACAGAGCTGCCAACACAACATAAACTATCAGACAGTTTATTATTATTATAACGCTTTCATAAATTCACTGAGTCCAATGTTTACATCACAGTATTAGTGGTGTTTATTAATAAGGTCTCATTTTTATTGATTTAGTTTTTGTGTGTTTTCGCGACTGTTACGTTTTATGATCAGGACAGTGTATAGTAATGGCTTCTGATGGTGTTGTAATTATCATATTCACATACCATGCTGTGTAAAACTATAGTAAAATAAGTGCACTTAAACGTGCTATTAAAAGAGTGCTTATTACAGAAATAATATATACTGTAGCGAATTTAGCTCACAACAGGAAATATGAATAATTAACCATAACTAGTTATAATTAACTATTCATATATTAGATCCGCTGTAGATATTTAGCTGACCACTCAGGGTCAACTGTCTTGTCAATTCTAAGAACGTTAATTTCCTGGTTAAGGGAAATAACTTTCTTACTGTACAATTCTATAAGCTTGTAACGTAAATCTGCATGATTATTGACTCCGGTTATGAGCAAACAATGAACACGTCAAGTGTGATACAAGTAAGGTTTTATTAACTACATAAACACTTAAACTAGTCTAACATACTACATA